CACACACACACACACACACACACACACACACACACACACACACACACGAATGAAACCAGAATGTCAACACTGCCGTGTTTAGGTTTATTGTGAATGCGATTACTTCGGAAGAAAATACTCTAAGACTCTCACTTTTCACCGCCCAGTTGTCCTGTGAAACTGTAGCACTACCCATTCAGAGTAAATCTGTTTTCACGTGCAGTGCTTACACTTTAAAGCCGTCGCTGTTGATTTTAGTATCAAAGAAACACAGTGAAAACCTAAAAGGTGATGTGATTTGTCTCTCAGTGAGAAAGCTAAAGCGAGAACAAGCGGTCCAAAGTCTGAGCTGTTTTCACAGTGCTAGTGTTGTAATATCTCACCCAGAGAGTTTCCAGTGTGGTCTGAAACGAAACAGTGTTTGCGCATGATTGTAAATGTGTAACTGGAGATGCTACACCACCCCTTCGATGAAACCCGTCTCCAGGTGAACGATCAGCATTCTCAGAAAGGACATCTCCTTGCGCGTGTTCTCGAAGATGATCCGCGGGTCGTCGGATTGGCACCGAAGGCAGTTGGGCGCCATCACCATGGCCAGGTTGTTCACATCCATCTTGGTCACAGCCACGTTGGACGGCTGAGCGAACACCTGGAGATAATCAGGACGGAGGGAGAGAGAGAGAGAGAGAGAGAGAGAGAGACGAGACAGCAATGAGCGAGGCTGAGTGCACAGGCCGACCTCTGATCTTCAGCGAACAATGGATGAGTCACAATCAGTTAAGAGCTCAAATATATTCCTGTTTTTAAAATCGGTTTAAAAGCTTGAGTTGAAGTTTAGTTTTAATATGTCTGTAGGAGTAATACATTTTCAGGGTAAAAGACTGAAGTACACAACAACATCGTACTCAAAAGGAATTCACAGTAGATATCCCCGGTCACCTAAAAGTACCAATGTAGGTTCTTGGCCGTTACTTTCTCCAGGAGCGGAAATGACGGACGGTGGAACAAACTGTGGAAATAAAGTGTGTCCTGTGTTGGTGGTAATTGCTCGGCTCGGAGGAAAACAGAAATCCAGCTGGTTGTATTCGCAACAGCGGTGCCAACAAACAATAATGCCAGTTGGAAACACCGGTGTGTGGTGGGGGGGGGGGGTTTAAAAAGTTGTGGGTTTTCACTTTAAAAAAGACAAAACTAAAATCATTCGACCTCGAGTTTTAATCCTGATTTTCATGTTTCATTAGGTTTTAGTTGATTTGTTTATTCAATTTTAGTTCCTGAAGTATTTTATTTTTTTGTTTTCGTTGGCAATAATGACCTTTCTTTCAGAGCTGAATATAATATTACAAATAGCTGTGTGTGTGTGTGTGTGTGTGTGTGTGTGTGTGTGTGAGAAAAGGTAACATGGTGCGTCTTCATTAAAATAAACTAAAGATGGAAACAAAAGAAAACGACAGGTGCAAAATGTGGAATATGGACCCTGGTTGGGGTAAATTATGGGCTGTGCGCATAAATCTTTGTCAACATGGTGGTTTACCTGCAGGAAGTGGATGAAGTAGCAGAGCACCAGCCTGTTGAGCTCCGGCAGGGACTGAACCACAGCGATGGCCGCCGCTGGGTCGTCACAGTTGCTGACGCACTGCTTGTAGAAGTTCATGGGGATGAGAGGCTCCTCCAGCTCCCGATACCACAGCTTCATCAGAGAGGCTGAACAAGACAAAAGGTACTCGATAAACACATTGTGAAAGACTGCGATATTGTTCAGGGATTTTTGGGAGCTAGTTGAAAAATAGTATCCGTAGAAAACTGCATTAACTTTCTTTCTTTTTTTTTTTAAATTGCTGCCTTTTGTGCTCAATCAGCAGAAAGGCAGAACTGAGTACACCTTAATATTGTCGTCATGATATTCAACAAAGTATTGGCATATGTTCCTCATATTGTGCAGCCCTAACACAGACGCACAATAACAAACAAGCCAAATACATCCTTCCTCACCAGGAACGTTGGGATCAGAGAGATTCTCTGGGATCCTCCACTGGTCTACTTGGAGCTTCAGCGCATTCACTTCATCAATGTCTCCCGGCACTCTGAAAATGTATTAAAAAAAACAGTTACACTCAGTGGCCACAAGAGGGACCTCTACTTCCATCGTCACAGCTTCTCCGTGCCCTTTTTTGCAAATCCGTTACTCATGCACACCCGATTGGCTTCAAATGTGCCCTGGTGGCTAAAAGTACTCTGTTCTTGCAGTACTTCTTTGGAACGAAACAGAAAACTAGAATCAGCATAACACGCGCCGCTCAGAACAGTCCCTGTGTAGGAGCTGTGAGTTTCACAGGGAGATCCGACACTTCTCTAAACAAGTCAAGATGTTATATTTGCTGGATAAAACCCTTCACAAACACACGGCTGTGTAATTCCCACGTGCTTGTAAGCTTAAGCGGTAACGTAAACACACATTATGAAGTATCAAATGAAACAGTGCTGGTCTCAGGGCTGTGTTTGTTCTGCTGTCTGCTGTGTGTACTGTACACACTCTGAAATACAGTGATACAGGAGACCACACGCACAGTTGTTTATGCACACTATGCATACAGTAAAGCACAAAACAGTACATAGATCCCCGTCTAATTTCCTTAACTCCTCCCCTCTCTCACGTTGCTCAAGTCGAGGCATGCAAGTTAGGAGTTACCTAACATACCTAAAGCCCGTCTTACCTGAAGATGCCCTCCGTCTGAGCCCCGCCCAGAGCCAGGACATACTGGGAAAGCTGAACCTGCACCCAGGGCAGTTTCCTGTCGGGGAAGAGCTCGCTCTGCCTCTCCATCACCTCCTCCAGAGAACTGCCAAACAGGGAGGGCGTGACGATGGCCCGCCTACTGTGGTCGATCTCCTCCAAAGTGGGCTTACGAAGACCCTGGAGGGGTGAGAGAGGTAAGGAAAGGAGAGAGATTTACTACCCGTGTGTGTGAGTGTGTGTTTGTGTCAGGGACTATGATACTAATCATGACTGTGTGTGCAGGTGCGCTACTATGACTGGGTCTGTGTTTATGTATCTGTGACTGTGTCAGTGGGCCTGTAATTATGCGTCTCTGTGACGGTACCCAGGGTGACTCAGTTGCCGAACTTTCAATCTGATGCGTCCTATTTTTATCATGTGAACGTTTTTATATTTTACTCCCCTTTCTTTATTTCTTTCGGCTTACCTTTTTGCCTCCGGTGATCGCCACCTTCTGCAGTTTCCGATAGCAGAACTTGGAATATGTGCTGATGGGCAGACCTGTAGGTTGACAGAGGAGGAAAATTCGAGACTGAAAACAGAGTCCGCAAGAAACACTATGCACACTATGTTATGTCCTCAAAGCGCCCTATGTAACACCCGTAAGCATCAGGCATTACTGAACACACACAATAATAAATTATTTAACTTCTTTCTCACAAACACGGAAAAAAAACGGTGTTTTTGGTTCCCACAGATGTCTCACAGCGTACGAGAGACAGGCGGTGGTAACTGGAGAGGCATGTTGACGGTGTGACTCTGGCATATGGGGATTAGAGCAGGCCCGGCTAAACTGTCAGGCTGAGGGAAGATTTACTACTGCTGTTGAACAAAAGCTTTAGAGACAGGATCCGGCCTACACGTCCAACGCTCAGGTGATTCATCAGCGTACACAGACATGAAGTGCTCCGAGGACAACGAGAAGCGCAGAGGCTCCCTGTCTGCTGTCTACCTGCCCTTTGTAGCTGCTGTGGGGTCCGGATCTATTTCGGAAGAGGAACGACGTGGTTTTTCGGAGTTGACGGTGTCCTTCGTGAGACCTGATCTCTCCTTAAAACAGTTACGAGATACTGTACACTTCTAGCTCTGAAACAAGCAAAAAGCCGGCAGAAAACCCTGATTGTTGGGTCATTGTATGCACACATGAAAATCTTTCATTGCTGTGGTAACACGGGTTCCCGTTCCCAGACTCTCCACTGTATCAGCTGCCTAAATCAGGGCCAGTGGTAAAAAAATCCACACAGATGAGACACTTTCCACCATCATGTTCTCTACAGTCCCAGAGTTATGGCAAACAGGTGACTCCCGGTCACAACTGCTGCTAATCTGACCGAGTTTGACTATAAGTATGTCTAATTAAACCTTGATCTTGGCAAAGATGGGCTATTTTTCCCCCCCAAGACAAGATGCTGTACACCCACTCGCAGAAAAGCAAGAGTGCAGAGTCCTTTTGCTGCAGTGAGAGAGGGTTCAAACACTACCGGTGGTCTATATTTACATCAGGTTTGACGGCATGAAAACAACAACAACCAGGCAACCAATGCCCCAGAGACATAGGAGCTCATTAGGAGCTTGAGTGTACTGTACCAGGCTGAGAACAGCATGACACCTGTCGACACATGCACTTAACAACAACAACACAGAGCCATTAAAGGATGTCGACGAGACAACTTTAGTCTCATCTCGGGGATTGTTTATGAGACAAGTCTACACTAAAGCAAGTGCAGGCCGAAGCCAGCGCTTTCCCGGGCCCCAAGCCCAAAGAAGTCCTTTTCCAAGCCAAGACCTGGTCTGTCCTGAAAAGAAGCCTCCACGTGACTCCCAATCCTACCGCTCACAGCTGCTCATTACTCTGGTCCTACACAATGGACGTGTCCCAGCTCCTCCATGCATCAAGCAAACAGCAGCTCCCATTATGCTGTTTTTGCACACGCAAGACTTTTTTCTTTTTTTTTTCCTCTCGCTGGCTTTCATCAAGATTCCTTTCTCTAAAAAAGACCTTCAGACTTAGTCAGAAACGTTCAGCGGGCTCTCTCTTTGACCTCTTAGTCAGTTGGAGTCTGAGTCACTGAAGTACAATGTGTGAGGCCACTGCTGTGGTGTCTGCAGTGAGATGATTGGGTTCCTCTCTGGTGACGTCACCACCAGAGCTGGCAGTGTGGGCTGCTCTAATGAGCGCACGGGCCGATAAGTAGGTATCCTTTTAAATGGCTGTGGGACATGCGAGTGCCAAGAGAGAGGCCACTAATATGACTCACAGTGTGATCCATTGTGTGCACAGAGAACGTTCTAAAAATTCTCATCCTACATATTTCTTTTTTTTTTTTTCCAGCTCAGCTTTCTGTTAAACCCATTCATTGTGTCTGCAAGTACATCAGCATGCACTCATCTGACAAACTGCACAGAGTTGAATTTTCCATCCCACTCTACAGCGGTCACTCTACAGGGAGCGATACCTTAGATCTGTAATGGTTTCCACGGCTTAGACTAGAAGTATAAAAACATCTTTGGGAGTTCCTCCCCTGCCTACTTTGTGCTCTGTCAAACAGATACGCTTGTAAAAATGGGATCCAGTTGTTCTTAAAGTGACATTTTGTACCGACGACCAAGTAAATGAACAAACGATTTACCTTCTTCCTCATCTGTACTCTGCTTCCTCTTCTTTCTGGACTTTGAATTCTTCTTCAGCTTTAGTTCCTGCTGCTCCAATATGAACTGAGTCACTATACGAAACAGAAGAAAACACAAGATAGATAGTTAGACAAACACAAGGCCGCAATCACATCATTGGGCTCGTCAATACCAATACTGTGCTTTCTCTCATGATCATAATAACTCAATTAAATTACAATTCTGAATCAAAACGGAAAGGGTAATAAAATGCAAATGCAATTTAAATGTGAATCTCGCTGGCTTGCACAAACAATGCTGACTATCAAACAACGCAGGGAGGTACAGAAGAAAGAAAGTTGACCCACCCTCTTGCTCAGTCTGAGACTCACATTTCTTGTCGCTGGTGGGCTCCGTGTGTCTCTGGATGTAGCCCTCCAGGTAGCAGCGGAACTTGGGAGAGGGGGCGAAGAACGCCAAGCTGACGGCCATCAGCTCCCAGCCCGCCGCCAAGCTCCTTGGGGTGGCGTTGCTCGTGGTCTGCCTCACCAGCTGCACGTACAGCTCGTCCCGCAGCCCCGGCATGTCCCAGCACTTGGTGATGACGAGGAGGGCACAGTGGCGGCGGTCCAGACGCGAGGGCCTGTCTCCCATGTAGGCCTGCACCAGCTTGAACATCTCGCAGGCCTCCTTCCTGACGGCGCGGTTGCTGGTGACCAGCATGGGCTTTTTGATGGAGCCGCGGTTCCACGACAGCATGTTGGCGATGGAGACGCGGCGGCGGAACAGGCCTTGCGTGTGCATGTTGAGGTGCTTGCTGGCCCAGTCCTCCATGCCCGTGTCGGGAGGCGGGGGCTGCCGCAGGGTGGCGTAGCAGAGCTGGTAGGAGCTCGCTCTCCCTCCCGCCCCGTCACCTCCCTCCCTGTTGTCGTGGCTGGTAGGCCGGTGAGGGCCCAGAGAAGCCGTCCGCCCATCCACCATGCCTTTCTTCCGGCTCTCCAACTGAGCCTGCAGTTCAAGGGTGCCCTCCTGCAGGGGGGACAAGAGGTGGACATGAGATAGAGAAGAAGAGGAGACGGGAGGGGGGGGCAAGAGTGCAGCAGAGGTACAAACTGTGTGTGTGTGTGTGTGCAGCTGCAGAGTCTTCACTGCGTCACCCTCGGAGCTGCGCTGCCTTCCACCTACCGAGCTCTGCTCTGCAGTGCTGGGGGTCGAGGGGGGAATTGTTGCCGGAGCGGCACATTCATTTCCTGATGCCAGAAAAGAATTGTACTGGAAAAACAACAATGTTCCCAAATCCTTATGAACCCTGGCCTCAGGAGCAGGTGACCAGATAGCGGCGTCACAGTCTTTACCTCTCCTACCCTGCAAAACCAGCGCTATGCTCAACACCTCCCTGCGATCCCTTGTGGTGGAGTTTAAGCCTCTGAGGAGCACCTCAAACTCCCTTAATAGAGGAAGACAGTAACCCAGATATGCTCTGCAAACAGCCAGGAACAACACCAAACCCCAGCCAGAATCAAAGCTCAACTTTACTAATGGGACATCAAACTCTTTGGCATGTCTTTTCCATGAGACCCTGATGTAATGAGGAGCTCACGAGTGAAAGACAAGCTGGACTTTTTGGTTTCTCAATGAAATGGAGCAGATTTGAGGTTTGGCTTTGGCAGAGAGTCTTTACAGCCGTACAAACTTCATGTTTTTTGTTTTTATAAAATGGGTGACAGAGGTCAACTCCAGAAGATCAAACGCAACAAAGCACATGTTTAACTATGGAATGGGAATGTAAACTTCTATTTTTGGTAAATTACACTCTTTAACAGATAGCTTCCAGATGTGAAAGCCCAGGATGGTCATTTAGTCAAAATATGAACCGAGACAGTGAAACAGTGGAAAATGCTCACAACTTTAAAAAACATGAATTATTCATGTTTCTTTTGGGGGGAAATGGACGGTTTCAGTGCATACTTTGAACAAGCTAGTTCAAAAGGTCTTTCAGCAAGAACAGAATGTTCAAATATGGAAATATAGAGCCGCTCATACATAGCTAGTCATAATCTGTGAGCGAGTGTGTGTGTGATATAACAGCAGGTCTGAAGAACATTCCAGGACAGACTTAGGGGGCCCGCTCAGTGCTCCTTGGCTGTTGTCTAACATGCTTAAGCTACAGTGGTACCAATACGCCGTGGTACCAGCCTGCCTCCTCTTCCTTCCTCATCTCCCTGCCAAGCCTGGGCCATATGGGCCCCAGCAGCCCTCCTTCCTGACCGAGGGAAGCCGTGTCCTGAATCTCTCTGGCCTGGGCCCCAGATGCCAAAAGCACAGAGCTGGCATGCGAGTACACAGTACCTGCAGTGCAAGGCAGATGGACGGTGGTAAGAGGATGACAGGTAATGCTGGGACTGTGGCCATTCTAGTCAGCAGTACCCAGCCCGCCTACTGTCCTGGGGACATTCAGGGACTCAAGTTTTGGAACGTAAAAGGCATCACTCACAAAATGCTCAGTGTTCTCTTTAAATGAGACGGATTAGCCTTACTGTGCTCATCCCACAGCTGCCTGGAGGACTAAACATTTATTATCATAGGTGCAGAGGTGAAGTGGGGCCGCTTCTAAAAACAACACAACAATGTAATATTGCTGTATGGGGTGTGATTCTGCTACAAGAGGGGATTTGGAGATTAGAAGTAGCAGATCTTGAAACTGGCTCCACTTATTGCTACTTATGTAACCTTTCTTCCATCTTTGATCATGTGCCGCTTTAGTGAGGACCCTTGACGTGAAGATAAGCCGTCAACCGTGACCTCCACGTGTCCCTCTTTGTAGTTTAGTCAAACTATAACCAACTCTGTTGTATTGTCTGATCTGCCCCAGTAGTCAAAAGGGATATTTATGATCAGTCACACAATCTGTCCATTCTTCTGCTTAACAGCTCTCTGAGAACAAGACACATTACACAATACAAAAGCAGCAGCTTAATATTCCCATAATACGCAGATGCTTTGACACATTGAGACTGAATTCTTCTCTAATCTGGAGCGACATCAGTAATCGGAGCACTTCTAGACCAAACAAGGCAGAATCCGAGCAAACCTGCTGAGGTAAACAGACCACACAATAACACGGTCACAGTTGAGCTCTTAATCAGCCGGGAAAGTATCATAATATTGGAGTAGCTACGATGTGTTCTCCTACTTATTAACAACTTATTTTCTCGCTGCTTGCCTTACACACACACGCACACACACACGCACACGCACACACACACAGGACAACAGGAGGGGTTACCTGAGAGGGCGGCCCTGGGGTCTCTGGCGAGGACAGGCTGGCTTGGCTATCCACACTCATCTCCAAGGTGTCCACCTTCTCAAAGGTCCTTTTCTGCCTCCCCGGTATCTCCAGAGGCGTCAGTGCCGGATTGCTGTGGTTGCCCACCCTATTCAGAGACCGGGGCGCCCCGGGGAGGTCTTCCCGCGATGCGCACCTGCTGGCCGACCCGCCTCCTCCGTACCACCTGAGTGAGTCGGCGGGGGAGCGCGTCCGGGGTACGACAACCCCCCTCTCGCCCATTTCCGGGTCCAGCCCGGCTCTCACCTCCCTCATGGTGTTGGAGCGACTCACCACCTCCCTCATCTCGGCCATGAGCCTCTCGTTGAGGGCGCACAGCTCCCCACTGCTGCCCACTGAGCCCGGCCTGCCTCCTGCAGCACCACCACCGGCTCCCACCCTCCTCCTGCTCTTCCTTCTCAGACTTGGAGAGGGGCCGGTGGAGTAACCGGAGTCTTGATAGTTTGCCGTGGGGTTTGCTGTGGGGGTTGAGGAGAGGAAGTCCTGCGAGGCCTGGCTGCTTTGCCTGCTGTGTCGTGCCTCCATGGCGCGCTGGACAGTGGCCTCAAGGACCCGCCAGTTCTGCTTCTTGTCCAGTGTACTTGGGCCCGGGGTCCCTGGCTCTCTGTCCCTCAACGGGCCTCGAGTCTGGGGCAAAGAGTGGGCCTGGGGCTGGGGATGTGGCTGAGGCTGGGTCAAGACAGGATCCTGCCTGGAGGTAGGGGAAGGGGTACGTGTCGTTACAGGAGAGCCGGATAGCAGCCCCTGTTTGGGGTCCACATTGATCATGTGCTTGATGCACTCCAGACCAGCTGGGCTGTAGTCAGAGGCAGAGGGGTTCCTCTTGTGTCTGGACCCTGAATGAGAAGAACCAGGGTGCTGGAGCTGTCTGGGTTTCTGGAGGCTATGGGTAGGTGTCAGGCGAGACAGAGGGTGTCCGTTGTACAGGTGCGCCCCCTCTACCTCCATGTCTGTCGGGGGTTCATCATATATGGGACACTCTGTAACCGGCTCGTCATAGATTGGGGTAGTGCAACCATACTGGGGAGAGACGGGGCACGGTGTGCTGGTCTGTGACCTGTGAAGGAGCGGACTGGGTTGGCTACCGTCTAACGACACCATACAGAAGCTGCCATTGCTGGCTTTTCTCAGGTGATGGGCCTGACGTGTGTCGACAGCCATTTTGCCAGAAGGGGCAGTTTTATATCCCTGGGTAGAGTTTGAGTGCCCCCCCTGGGGCTTGCTGCCGGATGGGTGCAGGGTGAAGGTGTTGGCTTTGCCATGTGCACTGTGCTGGAGGTGCTGCTGCTGCTGCTGCGGGCCTGGGATGGGCTGGCTACGGCTCATGCTGTTCACCTTCACCAGCATGGCTGCCTTAGAACCAGGTGCAGGCTGCCATCTTTGAGAGGCATCCCTAAAAAGAGAGAAAACACAAGCAGAATGAGATTTGACATCAGAGCAAACAAAGTATATATACATATATATATACGTATATATACTAAAAATGGAGTTAAGTCTTTGGAGGTCAGTGAAATGTTTGGAGAAGAATTTGTGGATTGCTGCTGACTTTCCCAGCCCTGTCAGCTTTAGATTCTTTATAACAGATGAAATATAGCCAGTGCCTGTACATGATTGGATATGATAATAGTGCTTTTATGACACTGTC